TTGTTCAAGGAGACAGACAAATTACATCAGCATCAGCAATAGCATGGCAGTTGGCATCTCACCAGGAAAAGAAGCCACAGTAGAGGTGACATCACATTTTGTGAAACTCTTCACAGCACTTAACTATAATAAAACAGCAAAAGGTGCTGCATCTCTTCTGTGCTGTAACACTCACACACTGTTAAAGATCAAAATTTACGCAGACAAGGAGAGAAGTCACTACTGTGCCTGATGACAAGGGAGCTGAACTTCTCCACTGCTGCTCAGTCCTACTAGAGCCTCCTTGATGGAGCAATTGCATCCCCTCCCCGAAGCCCTACTGAGAGATAACTGCGGCTGTTAGCCAGGGTCTAGCTGTTTTAAAACCTGTGAAGTGAGAAACACTAAAAAAGTTTTATTGCTGAGAAACTGCAGAAACCTGAAATGGATGATGGATGGTAGTGTCAAGTACAAGACAGCGAGACAGGTGGGGGTGTATCTATGTACACAACTGTAGCTGACAACCCAGCCTCCAGAAGATCTATCCTTTTACAGTGGCTTATTTCCCTAAAATTTGCTGCCAGATTGGTACACACGTGGCTCCCTAGCCCTCAACTACCATTCAGGTTGGTGTGTTTCCCTCCCAGCAGTACACTGCACATGTGAAATAGTTCTGCAGAAACAAAAATGTTGCGTGAGACAGAAGTGACATTTATTTACAGTGATACAGTGATACCTGGATTAGAAGATTTTCCAGTCAATTGCCAAGAAAGCTGACACATGCCATAATAATAAACACAATTTTTCTTAGACACTGCTGGCTAACTTCAGGGCTTCATAAAGCAATCAATCTATCTTTTAATCTGCAAGTGTAACTCAACACATTTTCCTGCTTCAGTGTGTGTGCAGTATTTGCAAGACAAATCTTTTTTTCGATCTTTAATTACTGTGGTGGGCAGGAGATTAGACTTTCAAATTTTTTAGCAGACAAATGGGTGATTGAAATCAAAATCTTAGGTCTCTCCAACTAAATCCAAAAATAATATTGAAGACAAAATGAAATTCCACTGATCGACTGTGCACAGAATGTGTTAATCAACATCAAGTAGGATGATATTTGAAAATACGTATATAGTTGATTATATTTTTTAAAAAAAAAAAAAAAAGACAAGGCTGAGCGTCAACAGAAAAAGGACAAGGTAGTTAGTTCCCAGTGCAGGTTAATTCCAGGCCACGCTGAAATTGCTTTATTTGCATGGCTGCAGTGAAGTAATTTCAAGTACTTAAGGCAGCATAGAACATAATGTGCAATCGTGAATAAAATCTGGAATGCACTTAAGTACTACCCGGTTTTTCCCTGCTGAGAAAGTGAACCAAGGACTGGAGGTATCAGATATGGGATGCTGAGCATCTGCACCATCTGAACCCCTCCCTTGGGCACAGGTGAACAGGACTGTATGGCAAACAGCTATATCTGAGTGACTGCCACATAAGAGTAGATTCAAATGTGTTCAGGCACCCAAAACCAGGCTGAGAAAGGACACGATTTTCATCGGTCAGTAGATTTACAGATAAACACCGAGAAGAGCAAAAGAACTATTCGGGTTTAAGCACGTACCACTGACACAAGGACAAATGGCTCTAAACTACCCACCAACAAATATGTAGGATGGAAACTTGTAGCTGATTCCTAAGCATTCAAGCCATGAAGTCCAGAAGCAGCCCCCTCAGCTGGAGTAGTGAAGGCAAAACCCCTACATCTGTAAAGACAGCACTCAACTTGGTTAAGAAGGTTCATGTGGTACCAGTGACAGCCAAGGACACCATGAACCAGTCCCACCTCTATATTTAGCAGAGTAGAAAACAGGGCATGCATTCATCGTGATTCACTAATGGTCTCAAAGAAACTTATTAAATCTCATGGGTTTTGAGTACCTGCATTCCCAGCCTTAATTAAATGGGGAGGGGGGAGGAAAAGGGGAAAGAGGATTTGCCCTGAGTTCATCTGGAGTTCTGGGAAAATCAAAGGAAAAGGACAAAAAGAATCTACATTCTGTAAGAATCATCTCTGAAAAAGTTCTACTGCTCAGAGGTACACCACTTTGGTTTTGCTTCGTGAATGAGTAAACAAAATAACCCTAGCCAAGCCACTCCTAAATTTATATAAGAATGTTTCTCTATCGGGGGGAGATATTTTTCCCTTGTAAAGCAAAAATCATCAAGTTATTTAAACCCAGCATTACAAACGAGGTTAAAACACTTTTAGATTCTGGCAGTAGCTGCAAAAATCTGAGAAGCTGTCATATGAGCTGCTTACACCATCAGGTATGTTTTATGCAATAAAGAACAGGAGTTAATATGCTCTCTGAACTCTTTATGGGTGGCTATTACAGAGAATTAATACGTGAAGGAGAACAGTAGAGCAGGGTAAAGCACCAGGACTTTGTGTGTGCTTTTACCCTTGCTGGGGAATGCGGGACAAACTCTATTCAATGCATTCAACATTAGTCTAAACAGAAAACAAGGGGACAGAAGTGCTGCAGTAGTGAAGCTACTCAGCACTGCAGCATAATGCAGGGGAAAAAAAACCCTGAAAATCTTCATAGCAATGTTGGACAGCCATCAATTCAAAACCCCACCTGCAACAGATTAGATGTAAAATCGTCCTCCAAGCTTCAGGGACACTTGCAGACATTGCTATAATTAAAATCAGCCTGAGGATATTCTAACTGTTCTGACTGCAGTGGCTAAAGGACTTTTCTTGAAGCCAAAAAGAGCCAAATCACGGCTACCCAGCTGTTTTTATTAAATTCTAGTAGAAGCAGGAAGGATGAGGAACAACACAGAAGAAGAATCAGCCTTTAAAATTTACTATTAAATAGAATTAAGTTGGAAAGGAGACAAGAAAATTTGTAATTGTAATCCAGACTTCTTAAAACTTGAGAGGGGAAAAAATCTATTCCAATTTTAAGCCAGAAATTGTCAGATCCAATAAGTCTACTCAAGCTTGCCTTCAACTATTGGATCCCCAAAAGCAGAGCGTACCCTTACAGTTATTTTGGTGATTTACAGCATCTCACTGGAAGCCTTCCAGCTTTGTCAAGGAGGAAGTTGGAAACTTTTTTTAAAATTGTTTTGGGCAATGGTTTTGAAACCATCAAGCTAACAGCCCAGTAGATGAAGTTATTCTTTTCAATAGACAGAAGAAAGCCCAAAGCCTTAATTTCCCAGCCTTTGCCACAGCACTCCTTTGTGGGGCTTCAGCTGCACTCAAGATAGTAGGGCTCAGAGAGCAGCCCTGTCCCTGTTACCTGCCACCCACCAAAAAAGTGGACAGACTCAGCTCACAGTTGGATTGCTGATGACCTTAACCCCCTGCTATTATACTCGATACTGCTTCTATCCACCTGGCAAGGACTGGGGTCAAAAATAGAAGCAAGTTTTTCATAGCCTGGACAATCATGAACTAGCAGCAACTTTCTACCATGTTGGTCCATTGCTGTTTGCACAACACTCGGAAGATGTGCATGCACACGTATACGCTACTGTTAATTTGGAAGGCCCTTAATAAAACACCTGGCACTTAAAAGCCCTTGAAGCTTTGACTTCAGTATTTGGGGAGACCTTTTAAAATGCTAACAGTTTTGGTTTTGCCAGAGGAGAATTTGAGCCTTCTGCAACATCAGAATTAGACAATACTTGCAAAGGAATCAAATTCCATCTATAGTTGAGAGCATGTAGCAAGACAGCTTCCTGAAAACACTCCTCCCCTAACAAATTCTGCTTCTAAATGAATAAAATAGAATTAAGAGTTTGGACTATAAATTTTAATACATTAAAAGTTGATTATATAATCATGAGACCTTTGTCATGAATAAATCCTAATTACAACAATTTACTGTAATGATTCATTTACATGGATTTTATCCTCATTAGAAGCAAGATTTATGCCAGCTGCTATGTAATAAATGTCTTTCTTTCTACCTTTTAGATTTTTTTATTAAGCATTCATTTTGGGGAACTGACTCCAGATCCACATAAGAAGTTGTGATTTTATTTTATTTTTTAATTAATGCTTTCCAAAAAATCAGTGGATAAAGAGAAGCGTCAGCATATTATTTTGCTTCAAAGGAACAGAAGAAAAGATTCCCCATTCGGCGGATAATCATTTTTTCAGCATGTACCACTGAGAGCTTAGAGGAACAATAATTTCAGCTAGACAGGGCTTCTTCCTGTGCTTTTATTCCTCTAGCCGGCCACAAGCTAGTCGTAACTGAGAAACATCATAAAACTCATTTCATCCAATTCTGCCACAGTGCTATCACCCGTGAAATGAACATCCTTAGATGTTTTGGGGTTAATTAAATGCTTATGAAGATCTTTAAAGCTCCAGCATGGAAAGCAAACTAGAGTTCTAAGTGATTCACACTATATTTAAGTTTTGTTTTGAGTTTAGCCAAGTATTCTGCAAGGACAATATGAGAAGTGCTTCACATAGATTAAAGCTACCTTTGATATTATAAAGTTACAATTATGACTGCATAAAATCAGAATGAATGCTCCTTGTCCAGTGATAGTTGCCAGCTAGCCAGATTATTAGAAATCTAAAGTTCAGTCTTCTTCCCAAGACTGGGAACCATTTAATCCCTTCAGTTTGACCTTACACAAACACAGGACTTCACCAAACTTTCAGAAGTTCACTGGCAATCACAATTTGAGAGCAGGCAACAGCAGGCATTACCAAATGAGAGGCCCCCAGAGCACATCCTTGCAGCACGTTCCTCTCTCATATATACTGGGGCTGGGAAAGGAGCACCACCACTGATGCCAGCTGTAGTGACACAGCACAGTGAGAAGCATTGCTTTTGCAAGCATGCAAGTCCTAAATCTGTCAGAAAAGACAACGTATACTTTCAACATAAGTTTTTCTGGCAGAATTCTATCTAGCAAAAGAAGGCATCGTGGCAACAGCAGTGACAGGGACAAGATAGATGCCATAGATTAAATGTCCTACTCTGCCACAGACACAACCCTCCTCTTCTCCTGACCCTAAAATGCAAGGTAACTATTCTCCTACCCCATCAAGTGTTGCATGCACATATCCAATAATGTAATATGAAGAGGATAAGCAGAATATAATTAAAGATGAGAGAATAATTTGATAACAAATACAGCACACGCTTCTTTACTAGCACAATAATTTACAAGGAGGATGGATAGAAGCTCATTTGAGTTGAATGAAGAACAGCCTAAACCAAATAGAAATGTTGCTGCTCTTCCCTTTCTTTCTGCGGGCATTTTAAGAATATAGAGGATATATCATGCTTTCCAACTTGCACATATATATATTAGGCTTTTTAAAAGCAACATAATTGATTTAAACCTTGGCTTCATAGCATATCTATACAGGAGTTGACAAAATTCGAGCTTCAAGCATTTGAGTCACCAACCTTAAAAGGCTGAGAAAAACATTAGGCCAAATACTCTTACAGATGCTGTGCCATATTTACTCATTTGCCAATAGATGACATCAGCTCTCTCATATTTATCACCTTCTCTAAGCAGAATTAAATGGTAGGCATCACTAAGATCCCCAGAATCAACATGCAGTTTCAGTACACACCTTAAATTTAAAGCCTGTTCTCACTAGATAATTGACTCAAAGGCCCAAAATAGCATCAGGCAGAAGCTGACGCTTGGATCAAAGACAAATGCAGTCCTCTGTATGGAGAGGGAAAGATAAACACATTTCTACATTCAGGATCAGACTATAAAGTCTTCCATGAAGTCCTATGAACAATTCCATGAAATAATAGGTCCAAAACACTTGAGATTCAAAGAAACCGGGCTCGTTTTCAACTGATAACTTCCACTTCCTAAAACACAGAAATGACTCAGAGCTGACTAAAGAGAAGCTGTGCTTAAGCTTTGTGCTGAAACAAACAATAGCAACTAAAATGTAATTCTGTTCTAAAGATCACAGTTTACCCTACCCAGTAATAGTTTCCCTCCTATACCACAGAGCTTTAACTTTGAAACTCTATATAAAAGTCAAGCCACAGTTGTAGCGATGCAACTCCATGGTCCATAACTTGTAAAGCACCTGTCAATCACATAACATCACATATCTACCCTCTACTTGCAAAGTGATGGAATTATATCACTTCGGAAAAAGAGAAGGAAAACACCACAATGTTAAAACTTTTGATTCTAAGGACCAAAGTATACCCTTCAAGTATATTTGACATTCACTAGTGATGGCTCTCCCCATGCTCCTCCTGACCCCTCAGATTGTCCCTTGACCCTAACACAATGCATTTTCATTCTTTTAATTAGATACAGACTTTGCCTAGATTCCAAAGTTTTCTCTTTTATCCAAAGAGGTTAATACAATCAGGGTCAAGGCTTATGCATCAAGGGACATTTGTCACAGAGGTGGCTTTTAGGAGATACAGATTCCCTGCACCACAACCATACTCCCACCTAGCTACTTGCTGTTTCACTGGATGGGATAGATTTGTGCCATAACTGTTAAGGCAGAAGGCTTTCATTTCCAAACACCTGAACAGCAGACAGTTTATCTTCATCACCACGACTTACTACCTTTTTCAACATAGCATGCATGTCAACTACAACCAGTTTTCTGTTTCCCTCGAAAATATTAAATAGTTCATTTACACTGCAGCATCACTTTGGGTATCATAAACAAGCTCTTCCCTTCTGCCTAGGAGAGAAAATAATGCATGCAAATTAAACTTTCCTAATACCTCCCAAGGTTGTTAGGAGTGCATATTCTTCCCAACTAAGAATCATCCACGAATAATTTTGATGCCACAAAATGTACCTTATCAAAATATCCACTAGAATGGATACAAGAATCAGACAACAAAATTTATACCCATCTATCATTTAGTTACAAGTTCCTTCTTTTGTGAAGGGTCTTCAGAAAACAGTACAAGGTGTATTATACACAGAAGACATTTCTAATATTGACCGTGTTTCCTTGCATTCCAACAACAGGAAAAGACAAGGACAACAATTTCCTGAGAAATAATCTGTACCAAGGATGACACATATTTTGGCCGAAAATTTAGAGCAGCATCCTCCCCATAAGACAAAAAAAAAAATCAGTTTTGTTCCTTTTCCTAACTTATTTTTTTAAGAAAAGATAGTAGTTTCACCATCATCACGTTTATAGAAAGGGCCTTTTTTAATTAAAAAAGCTTTTTTAATAGCTATAAATTGAAGGCCAAATTCTGAATTCACTGAACCTAACCGCTCAGGTTGTAAGGCACTTAGTACTACTGGTCATCCATTGCCTTGGCTCTTACCTGTATCAGTAAAATGGTGAGGGAATTCTGCACATTGGGGGACCAGTTCTTGGTGCTCTAATGCTACTAATTAACCCTGATTGTAAAAAGGAATAATTAACATTATATACACCAATGATTAGCAGATGTTCTACACTTTTTGGCAAGAAACGCTTACTGAAATCAGGCTTCAGAGTGGTATTTTCTGAGATTTTCAGGTCAAATATTGCAATGATGAATTTAGGAGCATAGACAGGTTATAAATACTGAAGTTACATGATGAAGAGTGATTACTTTACGGATAAGGACCTAGAGGTCCAAGTGAATCACTTGAAGGTGACAGTGACCAACTTCTCTCACATTACAAAAAATTCCGAAGAGATACAAATGTTTCATGACAATTATCATGTAATAATGCACCCCTTTCAGTGAAACTGAAGATACTACTTTTTCACACTAGCATTAAAAAGTGTTTGCCCTCTTGCCAGCAGTATAAAAATAGTAACTGTTAACATGAACAATAACATAAACCACCAGCTCTTCATGTGGAGCATTTGCTTACTGAAGACCAAAATACTTGAAAATGAAGCTAAATCCCCCCCCCCCCCCCCAAGTGGTATCTTGAACCCGAAGAGATCACAGGGAGAGAGCATACTGTTAAGGAAACATGTGTAAGGTAAAATATGAGAAAACTGCCATTCCAGCTCATGTCTGGCAGACCATGGAGCACCACGTCTGGTTTCTAACAGGGACCAAGAGCCTCAGAAAAAGCAAGACTCATTTCACAACAGGTAGGTATGGGATAACCTACTGCACACTCAAGTCTTACCTTACTGCCTGGCAGCTGGACCTTGTGCTGCACCTTAAAACACAAAGAATTTTGTCCTTTCTAGAACCTTAGAATTACCCTCATTCGCCTCAATAACTTAGGAAAAAAAGTCTTATAAATATAGGAATTACTCTCCAAAACTCGGCAAGTTCTCAGACTCAATTAATTAATTTTAATATAGAAAACCTGTGTATTTTGGGGTTTGGGGTTTTTTTTGAGGATGGGTTTTTTGGTTTGGTTTGCTTTTTTTAAAAAAAAATATTTCATAATATACAGAACTAATTTTGATGAGGGGAATAATAGAAAAAGTGATACCGCTGATGTCAAAACTTTAACTTCACCACTTCTGGCAAAAACATCTTGCAAAACAGTCAGCTAGAGCGTTCCTAGAGGAACATAAAATTCCTCTTGCAGCTTACAGGAAACAAGTGCATTGTCATAGGAATGGACTAGCAATACCAGCTCCTGGTTACTAGTGGCAGGTGATAAATGTAATTTCCAGGGCAATGACCATGGACAAACACAACAAAGTCTAGTGTCTTCTCCAGGTGGTTTTGCTACAGCCAGCCATTTCCACATTGACACAAGCAAGCACAACCCGAGCACACACCAGGCTTCCAAAAGACGACAAAATGCACTTAGCATGGGAAATGGTGATATTTTAAAAACACATCTACCTTGGAAATCCAGAACCTATTTCCATGCAACTGCAAGCACTTGAAGTTTAAGTTTCATGTGAAGTCAAAGGACTTGGGTTTCTAAGTGCTACTTTATTAATATTATACACATTTCTCTCTCCTCTATCCCTTGGCCTTACTTCAAAATTCCCATTGTATGTCTCCTTTTCCCTGAGAATACACACAACAACTAGAATAAGATCAGGATATCAAAACAGTTAACTAAGAGACAGTAGATAAACGCACAGAATCTTTTACAAAGCGAATACATTCATGCATAGAATCCAGAAATTAATACTTTCTCCACTTCCAAAGCCCTGAATTTCTTCATTAAATATGACTTATTTTAAGCTTTTTTCCATAAAAAGAAATGAACAGATTTTTTCCTTTTTTAAGTGCAAACAAAAGCATCTGGGTTGAAAATGAAGGACTAAAACAAGAGAAGGGAAAGGTTACTGGAAATGCTAACAGATCTAGTGCTCCAAGACAAAGCCTACCACAAATAATGCCAGATTTTGCAAGCTGCCATCATTACCGGAATTGGTGTAAGTTCTAGCCCTATTCTAGTAGTCAGGTACTTAAAATGTATGTCACTTAAGAATACAAGATAATAAGGTCAACTACTATCAATATAGCATAAAATAACCTCTTGAATGTATTACATTTAATATCCCTTCTCTGGCTACAAAACGGGAATTTCAAAGGGATTGTGATTTGTTGCAAGCACACACAGAGACCAGGAGTGACTACTGAACAGTAAATACCTACATCACAAGATCAAACTAGAGTTGAGAAGTCGTGAATGTTTCATAAACTGTAGTGCAAAAGACACACATGAAATAACTCTTTCAGTAAACAGGCGTATTTCTTTAAAAAAAGCACTCACAGGTAGCAAGCAGTAAGAACAGAGAGATTTAAACATCCTGGTAGAATAGTATTATGTCTTAAAAATCCTCACATTCATACACTTCAGGAGAAAAAGTAGTTTTAAAGCAAACAGTTAAGTGAAGGTAGCAATTCTAATTTTGATCGCCAATGCTAACAAAAGAGCACACCAATCTCCTTTCAGATGCTAACCTTCAAATCTGACTTCCCTGTTAAAACCAACCATGCAGAAAGAAATAAGCAAGAGCACTTCAAAGCAATAGGTGGCACAAAGGAGGGCTGCCATCATGGCCAGGACTGCATCGCTCACCAATGATTTGCTTTGGCTTCTGTTGCAGGCTATTTTCCTCTCAGGAAAACAGGGTAACGGACGCTTCCTCTTGTTGCCTTTGCTTCTTTAAGTTGCAAAAGCGCATACAACTTTTAACTTTGTTTTTCTTTTTCAAGGCTTTGTATGTCTCTGGTCTCTGAATTCTCCACTAGTATAACGATGCATGCAATGAAAGCTATGCTGACTAAAAAAACCAAAAAGACGAAACGGAAACACTCCCCATCCCTACTTTATCCCCACTCTGTAAGCTTTAAGATACTATTTCAAGACCTTATCCAGCCCTTTCTGCTTGACACTTGCATAGATGTCAGTAACTGCACAGCATCCCCACGTAACTTGGCATGCTTGCGTGCTCTGCCACTCACTGCTGGGACATGTCAATACTGTTTCCCACTCACAGCATAACAGCGGTAACAGAACTGCATGCCAGCTCTTCACAGGCTGAACATCTAAAATTCCTTACGCTCAGGCTGCAATGGATAAGAAAGGATATCCTTCCCGGCTGTATTTC